GTCAACCTCCCCGAACGAAACCTTGCCCTTCGGCAAAGCTTCGTCCGGGTTCCTCTCTGCTAATGCAGAGGGTTTGACAGACGGCGCTGACTGTAACTTAATACAGCTGCAATGGACTGGCTGCTCCCACCCAAATATGACAACAGTACTCCATTTTCGGCCTGATCTGGGTCTTTTAAAGGTAAAGAATAGCATGAGACGTCAGATACTTAGTGGAGCGGTACAGGGAGACGACCATTTTACTTGCATCTTTAGCGATGGATGGTATGTACGAGTTCCACTTCAGGTCAGTTGTGTGTTTAAGGCTCAACTGATTCTCAAGGCACAGTGGCACTACGAGGGGACATCCATTCATCGAGATTGTTTTTTGGGGGTCCTTTTATCTCGAGTCCTATTTCTTGGAAAATATAGTAGAGTATCTGGATTGTTTTGCTTCAAGAAAGCAACTGTAAAAAGAATGAAATGACTTTAGTGATGGTAAAGTACAATAAAACAACAGGTTTCAGAAAGATAGATGGCGATTGACGTACCCTGTATACCTCAATTTAAATGTCTTATATTAAATTCCCGTTATACAATTTTCTCTCACCTTCACTCTCTGTAATACCCTTTCTTCTCCCCCAGCTATGAGTAAATAGCAGGACAGAACGGGTTCTATAGGTTTACACGGCAACTGGTCTACTGCAGAAAGAAATGGCAACCTACTGCGGGAAAAACTGCCTTATCAGTCATGTATCGAAAGATACATGATCGCCTTTTTTATACGTAAGGGGTTACTGAGCGTGGAGGAAACAGAGAAAGCTTTACTGACGAGAAACAATAAAGGAACAGGATTGAAGGGGTCAGATGATGACAATTACTGTTGCGCTTAAATTGATGATTTTCGTTGTGAGGAAAGCGGGAAGATGGAAGGTATTTCCGCTAGGTCGAAGTGCGAGAGAAGAAAACATTAGAATGAAACTTCCGCTTCACTTAGAAATTTCAGCAGTCAAACGATGGTACCTAACTGCCAGTCTAGTAATACACTTACATTCTGGATAGCAGAGGGGAAACTACAAGAAAGCCACAAGGAAGCTACATTATGGTGGTGGGAATGTAACTGAAGCTCAGAAATCTTTAATACAGTAGAATCCCTTACAACAGGACTAAGAAGGCCTTCCGGGTATGAGGAATTTGTTACAAAGTCCGGATATGAGGAATTCCGGATATGAGGGATTCCGGATATGAGGAATTGGTTACAAAGTCCGGATATGAGATATTCCGGATATGAGATATTCCGGATATGAGGGATTCCGGATATGAGGGATTCCGGATATGAGTAATTGGTTACAAAGTCCGAATATGAGGGGTTATATTTAGATTAAAATAAAATAAATGAAATCAGATTTAACATTTATTTTCAATGTTTTATAGTAAACAAAATAAGCTAATGGTGTGTGAAATATAACGGAATTGATTTTAAATAAAAAGAAATAAATTGTGTAATTTTAATGAAAATTCATTAAATTAAGTATGCCATTTATGCAAAACAAATAATGTAACGAGGATTTTTTTAATCGCTGTTGCATGATGATTCTTTCTCTTCTAATGTCATTCTCAACTTTTTCCACATTTCGCTTTGCTTTGATTTTTTAAACGAAAGACACTTTTAAACTTTGTGTGCGATATCGCAATCATCATGGCTGAATGCTGGCTTTCTTTCCATAAAACTGGCAACCGTTTCAATAGCTTTTCACTTTCAATCCAGGTTTCATCACAGTCATGCATCTTATCGCTATCTTGTTGCAAGTTTGTCTCGTTGTCATCCTTTTCTCTTATTCCCAGCATCTTTTGCAGCAATAAAAGCCATTAGGGTGGGTGAAATAAGCATAAGCAATTATCCAAAGTAAATTTCCTGAAAAACAGAAATTTCAAATCAATTACATATCACCCAAATAGTTCAAAAATACACATCAAAATCATGTCCGGATAGGCGGGATTCCGGGTATGAGGCAGTCCGGATATGAGGGATTCCTGATGTGAGGGATTCAAATTTATTCCCCGTAATTTCTATACAAAAATATATTACTGGTAATTTTTATATATAAATCAATTACTGGTATTTTTACTATAAAAAATATATTTTTATGCTTTCCTAGTGTCATGATTTCTGTTTTGGGGTTCAAAGTTTGCACATAGGCATGACTCTAACAAGTGCTACCACCCCGTTTCTGAGTGGACCTGGGAAAATAGCAAATAGGAGGTTGTACCATGCTTTACAAAACCGACAATCTCCCCTTCAGAGGCTTTGCTGCCGGATGTAGTTTATCGTCATACCCAGGACTTCTGTAAAAATAGTTGCGTCATCAGAATAATGATCTGTTTGGGAGTTGGTGGCAGTGGAAAGGTCGTTGATGAAGATACAACGCAGGTCTAAGGATAGAGCCCTGGGTCCCCACCCCGCATTAATATAGGGACTATTATCTATATATAAAATTTTGTCACTGCCGTTAGTCCGTCTGTTCGTCACACCCTTTGAAATACCCATGCAATGATTGATCCAAACCAAATTTTGGAGAGAAGTGGAAACAGGTAAAGGGGGTCCAAAGTGCTGTCGGTTTTACTTGGGAAAATTAAAAGTTTTATTATTTAACATACAAAATACTCCCACTATTTTGAAAACAATTTAATGATTAAAATAAATACTTATTTAATAAAAAATGGAATATTGTTTATGTATATCTTTTCTTTAAGATGTTTATGTATACAAGAATCAAGTTCGACCTTCCTCTGCGAGAACTATAAACAAATCACAAGGTTAAATATTTTGAAAAGATGTAATTTGGTTCCAGTAACAAATATTTACGCATGGCCAGTTGTATGTTGCATGCTCAAGAGTAAGAAATTCTAAAAAAATTTTTTTCGCTCTTAAGAAAGATAAAGGAAAAAGAAATATCCTTATAAAATATTGTTTACCATCAATCCTATAAAATTAATTTAAATTAAAGAAATTATTAAAGTATTTTTCCAAATAAATCGGCTTATTCCAATTTCATCGGTTGTTTTGCGAAACTGAACGAAATGTAGACTTTGTAAATCTCGATAAAAAAAAAAGCAATAACTTCAACAATACAAAATCGAAGACAAATCGGACAGATATTTGTCGTATATCCAATTATATAACAATTTAAAAAGACGACTGCCGTGTTAAAACGAAATAAAAGAGAGAAAACGTCAGTCATATTTGTAATTTAAAATGTTACTGAAAATAAATTGTAAAAGAAAAAAACGCCCTAGACAGGGCTTGAAGGAGACAAACTCGATTTTTATTAGGTAGCCATTAAGTAATCAACCAATTTAAAGGACCTTTATGAATATTGTCCCAACAATAGGCAGACGTTTGAGAAACAAAAAAATCAATGAACGAATAAAATAAAAGAAATAGTTTTTTATTGGTTTTAAGATTATTATGTCGATGATTTGTACATTGAAATATTTCGATTCGAGGTCCGTCTATTCGAGAAGAGTAACGTGTCCTCGTTCACTTCTTTATTTTTGTTTAGCAGAATATTAACGTCTCTGGGTTATTTAATACTGATATCAAAACATTAGTATACAGATTTTTTTGATTTTTTTTGCGGGGGGGGTGATAATAATGGTTTTTAGTGATACAAGTTTTGATAATTAACTCATAGCTAGGAGAGAAGAGATGGATTCATAGCTTTCACAAGTGTATTTGCGCGTAAGACTACGGCAAACATAGTCAACACATAAGACTAGATATAGCAGAAAAATTCATTGCACAGACCAATTGTAGATTTATAAGTGTGCAAGATGGAGTCTCGTTAAATCATTATCTGGCATGGCACATTAAACCAGCTTTCTTAAAATCAAACATCGCAACTGTTTCAATATGACTGCTTCAACTACAAATATTTTGTACATAATTTTATAGATTCAGGACAAAACTATGTTTTTAAATCTACAGTTTGCAGATGATATAATGTATTGCTGAGAATTTCGCTATCAAAATATATTGTTGATATATTTACAAAATTGTATTGCTGCTAATTTGATTATAAAAATGTACTTTTGAAAACTTTTTTGTGTTGTATTGATTGCCATATCGATATAAAACATATTGTTGGTAATTTTACTCTAAAAATGCAACATAATTTTTATATGCAATAAAATCCCTGATAAGATGACAGAAGATGGCGATTGACGTTTAATGGGTAGCAGCTCTGATTGAGGAATCGGAGATCCGAGTTCGGATTCTAGTCACTTACGGCCTAATGCCCTCGTGAATGATATGAATTCTTTTATTCTCCCCCAGCTATGGGTAAATAGCAGGACAGAGCGGGTTCTATATGTTTAGACGGCAACTGGCCTACTGCAGAAAGAAATGGCAACCTACTGCGGGAAAAAAAACTGCCTCATCAGTCATGTATCGAAAGATACATGATCGCCTTTTTTATACGTAAGGGGTATAAATGAACTCAGCTGGAATTAGAACTCGGCTCTCCGATTAACAGTTCCGATCGATTGTCCATTGTAAAACGCGAGCATCTAAGCTTAGATAAACAGCGTGTCAAGTGTGAAAAAGTAATTTAATTTAATCTGATTTTTAACCAAGAAAGGTGATAAAGCTGCTAAGAAGAAACGTGTTATCGATAGTAAAAAACAAGGAGAAAATTTTATTGAGTAGATCCCCCGACACCAAAAAATAGAACATGAATCAAGGATATTGGTTGGGTTATTCGGTATTTACGATTTATCAACCCTTTGCAGGTTATTTAAAACAAGAAAACATTTTTAGATTGTAAGAATTTTTTAGAAAATAATAATTTATAGATATAAGCGCTACTAATTAACCCATAGCTTGGGGGGAATAGGTTGATTGATACCTTTCCCATGGTATTTGCGCGTAAGTAAATAGAACGATTCCAACCTGAATTGGAACACGTCTCCCCGAATACTAATTCCGAATCATTATCCACTACACCACCAGTAAATCCAAGCTTACAGCACCTGGTGCTCTCAAGCGGTCACCCATCTGAGTACTGACCAGGTTCGACGTTGCTTACCTTCATCGACCTACGGGATCCGGTGTTTAAACGTGATGATGCTATAAGCCCTTTGTATAGAGCAAGCTTCCGTAAGGAGTGAACGTCACACTTACTATGACCGATCATGTAGATTCTTCTCGTTTAGCGTTTCTGGCAAAAGATCGCTTAACCTTTGTTGGCCAGACTTCTTATAGTCTTCCTTTGACATCATAAGGTTCCTGGCGTCCCCCACTGCAATCAATAGATCAAGCAAACACTTTAATTTTATCATCTTACTTCAAGAATTTTTTTTCTGGTGATAAAAATGTTTAAATAATAAAAATCTTACTAATTAACCCATAAGACGAGATGGATTCATGCCTGCCTCAATTGTATTTGTACGTAAGTAGATATAACAAACCCAACTGGAATTAGAACTCGGATTTCCGATTAACAATTCCGAGCCACTATCTATTATACCACCCGCACATCCAAGCTTACAGTAACTGGTATTTCCAAAAGGATGCCTATCTATGTACTGACCAGGCTCGACGTTGCTTAACTTTCAACGTGATGTGGCTCTAAGCCCAAAACATAATGAACAACTAACAGTAACATATTTATATCCAAATAAATATCAAATGTGCTGATATATTCAAAGCATTTGGTGATCGGGCCATATTTTGTCCAGTAATAAAAATCTTCGTCATTTCCTGCCTTGGGCTGCAAACAGGATCTTTTCTGTATAAAAACGACTGTCCGATGTTTTAACATATATTAATATGTATAAAAGATCGTTAATTAAGAACCCATCAAAATTATTTTCTGGCTTTAAATAACTTGAAGATGAAACAATCATGTTTTTACAATTAGTATCCAATTAGAGCTGAGGTTTGTTTCGTCGCGATCTTTTCACGCGCTCATGTAAGATAGAAGACATGCGATTGGATAAAATTATACGCATTGTTCTTCTCGGTATTATTAATCGTGGGCATCGAACCTTCAATACTCTTTATTTTATTTTATTTTTGCTTTCTTTCCTTCGTGGAACAAAGCAGCAGATAAATATCAACTTGATTCGGTTGTCAAAAATTGAGGAGAAAGAAAATGGCGTCTGTCTGAACATTTAACTTCAAACTCTTCAATAGGAAACCAACTACAAAATGGAACGGATTTTATGAAAACATGAAAGGAAAATCAAACACGACAAAGAGCTGCTAACCTGGAAATCTGTTACAGGTTTATAGCGTACTTAAATTATATGGAAATTGTCCGAATGTTTTCCAATCGCTTTCGGCTATACTTTTAGCCATTACCAATGATTCATTTTATTTAACTTTTAACTTTGTATATGGAATGTTTTATATATGTATCTATATGAAATGGACAAAGTCCGACAATTATTTTTATGTTTATACATTCTTTTTTTTATAGAAACAAATATTTAAGTAAATGTTCTGTTTATAATAAACAGTATTGACAACATTTACCGACCTGAATGCCCGAGAAATTTTCATAGAAAATATGCGTCTTCCGACAGGAATCGAACCTGTATCCTATACGGAACCGTCATATAGCTTAAAGTGCCTTTAACCGATATGGCCACAGAGAAGCGTTTCGGCTAGCATTACATCTCTCTGACCATAGCTGAATTTGGCTTCATTTAAATGCACATGGAGACATACCAAACTCTATCCGTAACATATTTGCTGATAATACAAATATAATAGCATCATCGACATGTAAAAAAAGACTAAAAATATTGAAAGTATTAGTAATAAAAAAGAAAAAGCCAACACTAAATAATATCAACTATGAACACGGTCACAACGTGCTGACCGTGTTTGAAAAATAAAACATTCCTATAACTGTAGACAGAATCATAAAACAATTCATATATTTCGTTAACAGTAAAATAAAATTCATCCGTGATAATGGTTAAAAGTATAATCGAAAGGTCATAACGCCCTGAGCATCTGGCTGTTTCTGTTCGAGAAGAAGATAATCGTTCTGGAACAATCTCCCTGATCATCTGATCTTGCTCCGTGTTGGGTGTTTTATTTTCAAGGCCTCCCATTTTGAAGGCATGGAGGCAATCAAGTCGGTCGTAATTACGGTGCTGAGGGGTATACAAGAAGAATTATTCCATCAGTACATAAAAGCATGAGAAGGGTTGAAACGTGCATTAGACTCGAGGTGGGATTTACTTTGAAGGGGAAACCATTTAGTTATATGAAATCGATAAAAGAAATTAAGTTCAGGATTGGAAAAGCTAGTTCTACGTTCTGCGTTCTGTGAAGGATCAGGAATTCTGGTAATGTTTCGTTACAGGTGGAAATCGATATGTACAAAATCAGTAGTACTGATATTCTTAATATATAGTACAAAATTATGGACTCTGTTCCGACGACACACCAATCAGTTTGATCCCTTTCACATCCATAGCTTACAACCCAGCTGCAAGAGACAACTGGTTGATCACAGTAGAAACAGTGAAGTTCTGACGAAATGCAACATGACAGGTATTGATACCATCCGAAAGAAACCCCAACTGGTTGGCAAGACATCTTTC